GGAAGCCATGCCATTGGCTATGGTGTTGTCTTGCTCGGAAGCATTGTCGCTGCACTTGCGGTTCTGCTTCGTTTGTGGTCGAGAGCGCTGTTGAAGACATTTCGCATCGAAGATGCGCTCCTGATATCGGCCCTAGTAAGCATCTCAGTATCCAGAAGACGAACCAAACTAAACAGGCTGCACAGGGTCTATATGCTGGACACTCATATGTCTTATACGAACTCGCGATATTCCCAGGCTTTGAAGTTCATCAGTGGAACATCCAGCTCCAAAACCTGTTTCCAATCCTTTACGTGAGTGCGATAGCGATCGAAACATGGACCTTAACTGATCCTTAACAGCATGTTCATCTGGGCTCAATCTTTTACGGTTTGGTCATCATGCTCCTGAAGGTAGCCATCTTGCTCGACTGGCTCAAGATCTTCGTGCCTCGTGGGCAGCGCAACGCCGTGTTCTGGATTTCCCATGTCATGATCTGGGCGAACATCCTCTTCTATGGCGTCGGCACCTTGGTCGAGATCTTCCAGTGCAGTCCACGGACCAAGATATGGAATCCTTTGGTAGAAGGCAAGTGCCCTATCGACATGAGAAGCCACAACATGGCTGCGGGTATCGTCAATCTCATCTCCGATTTGGTCATCCTCGGGCTGCCACAGAGGGTGATCTGGCAGCTACACATGTCGCGCGCCAGCAAGATCGGTATCTCGCTCCTCTTCGGTATCGGAATATTCGCCTGTGCGAGCGCAGCGGTGCGCCTGTATTACATTTACAGGCTGTTGCACACATCGGACCAGTTGTATATTGTCTCCATCGCGGGTCTTTGGGGTGTAGGCGAGATGACGGCTGGATTCCTCATCATAGGCTTCCCATCGCTTCCCAAAGTCGTGAAGGCCCTGCCATTCTCGGATTCTGTTGTCTCGCTCTTGCGACAGATAACGCGGCCGGGCTCAAGCGGTCATGCTGAAGGTCAGGCCGAGACGCGTCGCGGGCTGCCGTCGTGGCACAAAGCCGCACCACTAAAGAAGCGACGCGACCAGTTCGAGGTCAGCGAATTGAGCGAGTATGATCTTCCCGATCGTGATAGGGTTCACATGGGTGATAGGCGCTAGGTAGAGGGTGCATGGCTGGCATCGCGGGTTGGTGGGATCGCATTCTTCGTAGTTCATCACAGTCCTGGAATGGAAAGATGCAGGTGCCCTGCTGTTCCCGGCACAACTTCGGTAAACGCGTCCCAGCCACTCGTGATCCGCTGACGTGAGCCCTTTCATCATGTGATGAACACGAACTGTGCGCGTCATGACGATCCTCCCCTATTGCTCTCCTCACTGCTTGATACCTTGCCGATTCCTGCACAGTTCGCTTGCATGCAGGTAGGAGCTCACCAATATGATGTTGCATGCCGAGTCTAGGCACCCTTTCGACCGATCACTGCCTGTGATCGCTACAGCCGCGTTGAGACGCCGCAAGCTGCAAGCTGCAAGCTGCAAGGGTAGTTTTGGCCCACGGATAGTGCCACCAGATCCAGCATCTTATTCGCCTATACTCAGCCTCCCTGGAGCGTCCTCCTCTTCTTGCCTGTCTCCATGCTATAGTCAGATCAATCTGATGGCCGTGTCGTACGGGCTATGCACCCATCTGGGGGCAGGTCGTACATATAACGACTATCTTGACTGTGCAGTGCATCACTCTCGATTATTCCTGTTACACACCTGGGCGTCTACTTTACGAAGGTTTCCACAGAATGGGTGAGGCATACGACCCAACGACCATCTTCAGCCCCAGCCGAGAGTTGGCAGCCCGTATCGGGAACCAGAAGCCCCGACAAAAAACAAACCCCTCGTCCTCATTCTATCGCAACCTGGAAGATGCACTAGAAGTTAAGAAGAAGTCGCACACCTTCTATTCTATCCAACAGAACCTATGGCAAGCAGCTGAGTCAACAGTCGACTTCATCTCCAACGACATTCTTTCTTTTGGCACCAGCGGCATCTTGAAGACAGAATACCTGAAAGAGCTTTCCCGATATGATCAACGGAACCCTGGAGCGCCGGGATCGCGACTCGCCGAGGGAAACTACGCCTATATAGAAGAAACCGAGCAGCACATTGCTAAGTTCCATGGCGCTAAAACGGCATTACTGCTGGCTTCTGGGTTCGAAGCAAACGTGGCCATATGGACGTCAATACCACGGCCGGGCGACGTGATTCTATGCGATACCTTGGTGCATGCCAGCACTCATGAAGGAATTGACCAGAGTCTGGCAGGAGAACGAGAGAGTTTCGCGCACAATGACATCGAGGACTTTCGCCGCATCCTAACATGGATCATAGAGTCCAATCCGTTGATCCAGAGAGGCGCAAGATCAGTCTTAGTAGCTGTCGAGTCTGTCTATAGTATGGACGGTGATGTTTGTCCATTGCAAGAGCTTGTCGATGCCGCGAGGGAACTGGCTCCTTCCGGAAGTGTCCAGTTTGTGGTGGACGAAGCCCATAGTAACGGCATCTATGGGCCGCAAGGCAAGGGTCTTGTGTGCGCTCTTGGTCTGGAAAAAGAGGTGGCTATAGTGATGCATTCATACGGCAAGGCCCTGTCGTCAAGAGGTGGTATGTATATCATAACCAGCACGAAGGCCACGTATACTCACCTGCGATACAGCTACCGTCCTCGGTAACGAGACGATCAAATCAACGCTGCTAAACTTCGCAAGAACTATCATATTCACGACTGCGCCTTCATTCGCATCGGTAGCACTTATCCGGACAGGATACAGGCTGTTAGAGTCGGAAGTTGGAAGACAGGTAATCATTCTCTTCATATCAATGTCCATGGCGATCGCTCTCTGACACTGCATCAGGCCCAAGCACAGGTCCACGATCTTGTAGATCTCTTCTTACAGTCAATCATATCGCACCCTCTATGGGAAAGTGCAGAACGAACTGGCCTCCTCGCCATCCCCCTACTGAAGGACTGGGAAGGATCACCAACGGCGACATCCCATATCATCACTATCCGCACCCGACAATCGTACACGTACTGGCTGTACTTCCACCTCCTACTAGACGGATACTGCGTATTCCCTGTCGAGCACCCCGTCGTCGCCAAGGGCGAAAGTCGCTTGAAGGTTACATTCCACGCCGGCAACACGGAAGAGCAAGTAAGCGGGATGGTAAGATCGGTTTTCGCGTGGATCCAGGAAATGATGGAAATTGAGGGAAGCAAGGATGATGCGCAGCGAATCAGCGTTTCGCAAGCTGCCCACAAGGTCTATACTTGGATGGCGCATGAAGGGCTGACTGGGTTTGGCATGCCTGCTTCGATGGTGAGATACTGAGGGTACCTTCTATTGGCCTCACGATTATTACCCGGATAATTCGCTTCGTCTGGAGTTCGCCTTGGAATTCTAGAGATTATGCACAATGCGACAGGGGTGGAGTAGCCTGGTCAACGGGGCGTAAAACGCATGTAGCGCCAACCGCATCATCCCTCATATCAACTTCATAAAGTACCAAGATGGCGGTCCCCGAGCCGCGAAGATCATTCCTTCATGTACATGTTGTAGGTAACACGAGATATGCACGTAAGCCGTTGAGGCTTGGCAAGAAGGAATGGAATGGGGCGAAGTAAGATCATAATTGCAGAAAGGCTGGCGGCAGTTCCTTCAGCCTTCACATGCTAGCGCTTCGGGCCGGTGGATCTTGGACGCTCATACGTGCATGTGGGATTCTTCCGTCGAGGCTTTTTGGAGATCAGGGTATGCCCAGGTTGTGTAGTATTGCTGCGTCGCGTCTACATCCCAGTTCTCGCGAGTACTGTCCAGCATTTGTGGGAAAACGATACCAGAGTCTTGGTCTGATAAAGTGCTCATTTCATGAAATGATGCACCGGTACGAAAGAAAGACAGCCACATGTGCAGTAAGATACCTAGGTAGCTGCGTCGAGAACAGAACAAGGCTGCTGTCGTTGGTCACATATCCACGCGCGGAACATCTGTGTTTGTTTCTGTTGAAGTGTTCGATATGCGCAATGTCCAATCTCACTGTGCTCAGGTGCTCACATAGAGTGAGACAACCACCAACCTAGGATTTGACCACACCTTGGCAGACTCCAATCTGCCGTATCTCCGACTTTTCAAACTTAGACGTGATCATGCAACAGAAACTAGGTAGTCTTCTATAGCCTCGTTATCGTATGAGACAATTTCTGGAGTTTGATACAGCCTATTGTCTACATGCGAAGTACATTGATCAAGCGGGCCGTGCACCGCGATGCATCGCCGCTGCCTAAACAACTACCGTGCCACAAACACGCAGAAACCTTACACGGGCCACGGATGAAGTGGCGGCGTCGTGTCTGGCTCACCTTCCCTCCCGTCAATTCTCCGGCAACCACTACTCTCTTACATTGCCGCTCGTTTCACAGCACGCAAGCATGGCGCCTAAAGGTGATCTACGTGGAAAGGTACGGTGCTACCTGTCTGATCTGCGCTTGCAAGCTGACATGTGAAGACGGTATTCGTGATTGGCGGGTCTAAAGGGTTGGGGAAGGAGATGTCGAAGGTTATGGCTTCTCAAGGTACGTCATTGGTGTGTCTAGAGTATCGGTCGTCATTGTTGAACAGCAACGTATAGGCGCTCATGTGACTATCTTTGCGCGCGGGCAGACGCAACTCGACGAGGCCAAAGATGAGATTCTTGCAAGTAGAAGAGACGAAAGCCAGCAGGTTGCGGCAATCGCTGCAGATCTTGGCACACCTTCAACAGTGAGTAGGCGTCCGATTCAACTGCCATAAGGTGAAGGCAAGTTCAAACTAGCGTTCTAACGATATATACCACTAGGCGTACTCCCTTTTCGCATCACAACCGATAATTCCGGATATCGTGTACTGTGTTGCTGGCGGTACACCATCGGAGTGCGGGTACTTGCTCGATCTGCAGCCTGAGGTATTCGAACGCTGTATGAACAACAACTACTACTCAAGCCTGTACCCAGCGCAGGCGGCAATGAAGCTGTGGACTCAGGATGACGAAGACGCCGCGGTGCCTTCAAGCCCGAAGTTGAGAAAGATTGTCTTCGTGAACAGCTCTGCATCGCTTGTTCCTGCACCTGGCTACCTAGCATACTCTGGTAAGTGGTCATGCATCGCCATTGAATGGTAGAAGTCTTGGAGCCAGTATACTAACTGGAAGTGCGTTTATCAAGCCGCCAAAGCTGCTCAACGCTCGCTTGCCGATACCCTGCGCATGGAAGTAATGCGGTACTCAGGCCCAAAGAGCACATACGCCGTACAATGTATCTTTGCGCACAACTTCATCACGCCAACCTTTCTACAAGAGCAAAAGACTAAACCCGAGCTTACCAAGCGCATTGAAGGCACATCAGGCGAGCTTCACGAGTTGGAGAAGCAATTTCCCTACGCTGCGAAGATTGCGCCCGAGATTGTTGCAAATGTCGCGAGCGGCGACTATGCTGTTTGTGATGGGAGGTTCGATCCTCAACTGTTGTGGGCGAATGCTATGGGTGCGAGTCCGCGGCGCGGATGGGGGATCGTGGATACGCTGATGGCTATGTTCATGCTTCTCGCGTGGCCATTCGTGAGGCGCGATATGGAGAAGAAGTGCTGGGGTGATGCGTTGGGTGCAAAATAGGACGAAGATACGAAAGCATGATGGCCGTTCTATATCATCAATGGCCTGTAATGTTCTGTTCAGTGTGGTTAATGATCGTACTCTCTAACGTGCCGGGTATGCCTTAGCCTTAGGCTTTCGAGCCGGATGAGAAATGAAGGCGCGTAGTCAGCGGAAGCGTGGCCGTGAGCGTGATCCTGGTCGCGAGCGTGTTGGTGGTCGTAGCGGCTTGTTGGCTTCACACGTTGGTCGGTGCCAAACATCCGGGGCTGCGGCCCCCGATCGCATCGCTCTTACAGCGGGCCTTCTCAGGCGTGGGGCGAGCGGCAATGAGATAATGCGGAGGGGCGCGCAACCTGTAACAGCGGCCTGGTGCGTGGAACGTGGATCGTGGATCGTGAGCGCATCGTGTGTGACGCGACGCGACGCATCATCGGAGGTCATCGGTGCCAAGCCGCGATTGGGTTGGGTGGTTGGCTTGGGTTGCCGCAGCTGGATGTGGGCGATTTGAGCCTCACCGCAACACCAACTTTGAGAGTCCAATGCCAAACTTATGCCTTTCAACAAGTTATGAGTCCTCGACGCTTACTGCCTAAGAGCTATCTTCTATCATCCGCAGTCCAGGACCCATACACCTTACACTACCAAGGTACCTAGGTAGGAGAGCATTTTACACACGTCATGGAAGGCGTGCGCACGAGACTTCGCCCGGCACAGCGCTGTAGTACTTCCGGTTCCATGATCAGTACATAGGTACGTCAGCAGTTCAGTTCAAGGGCAAGGTTGCGATGGCATCTCGTTTCTGCACCCCTGATATCTCATAGGCGTCACCTCTACATCAACGCCCCTAACACTGCCACCTGGAACCTGCGCGCAACTACAGACCAAGAGTACTCCTCCATGATCCTTTGAATGTCAGCTCCCACAGTCTGCGACGGCACTACGCAGCCGAGATGTCTTGTCATCCACGCCTGGGGCCGTTTCAGATACCCGTGGACGAATTCCGAGGTCTCAAAATTGAGGATTCTTGACATCACTCTGCCGCGCCTCATTCAGGCCCACCATCAACTTCGTCGTCTAGCATCTCGATGCGAACTTCTGGTCTCGCTGATGAGTACGCGCCCTGTGGCCTACCTAGGTACGAAGGTGGTTGTTTCACCACCTTATCCAATGATTTAAGCTCCAGGAGTCATCGCGGTGAGCAGGCACGATGGCACATGGGCACAGTTACAGTTGAGTATTTCGCTTCTTTCCTGCTTTTTTTGCCTTTTCCGACTCTTGGTGATCATTGTAGGTTTTCTCGAAACTTTCCCTAATCGTTCGCTCTGCCCCGGCCCAGCAAACCATTGCCTTTTCCAGTATTGACTACTCTCTTCTAATCTATATCATCTGGATATCGATGATGGCAATGGCCCCCACGGCAATCGGACATCGACCCGAATCTTGCTCACTGCTCGGATGTTGCGGCGCATATTTAGCCCCGGCGACTCACGTCCTTGTCAACCACTCCGCGAAAGCAAACCTGAAGTTGATGCAACAATCCTGCAAGGCGAATGCTGAGGTCAGTACGTGCTGGAATAGACGCAGTAGTGGTAGGAGTAGCAAGGCGAAGCAAACATTTCGACGAGGCTGACTTTGCAAGTCCTTCAACACATGACGAATGGTCCTTCACGAATGTCTGTGCCTCAGTATCACATTGTCTAGCAATGTCATACACCAGCGTCATCTGAAGGTTTCGTGGACTACGATAAGCTTACATGCCTTCAAATCCTTGCACTTCACAGTGAAGACCTGTGCCACAGCGTTACATCTGTGCTCTCGAAGGGCTACCTCTTCGCTATGAAAGCTGGGGGCTGTAAGGTTTGTAATAATCCAGCATTTGATAAGATGTATAAGAGGAAGCGTGTCCCGCAGAGGTGTCCTTCAAGTTCGACTAAAGACCTGCGTCAAATCCGACTTTGGAAGTTTTTCTGCTCTTTAACCAGCTCTATCTCGCTTCAAAGCCTGTGTCAGTCTGACACTTTCTTTCAGTCATGCCTTCACGCAAGCTTGCGTTTATTCCAGCAATCCTCTTTCTGGTCACTCAAGTTCATGCCCAAACCAACGTTGTTGATTACAACGTCACCGGATACGATGTGGCTCCAGACTTGTCCAAGTACGAGATCGATCCATACCCTCCCTTGAAAGATGACCAGGGGAACCAAATCGACGCAGCCAATGTGCGCGGCACTCGTCTTTTTGGTTGGGAAGGTTGCGAACCGCAGGCCGCGAATGACATCAAAGCAGCATACAATGACTTCTACAAGCTATCTCATCTGGATGGCTTGTACGCCAACTTTGACTGGAAAGGTCAAGCAGCGCGGGAGTTTTGGGGCTCTGACGTCAGTCCAAAAGCTCCCCTGAACGACGGGACGAAAGAAGAGATTCGACGTAAGTATACTGGACCGGCTTCTATCCCAATTGATGCTGATCAGACACTTCCAGAGATATACGATGCAGCAAGCTCTATATGGTCCTCGAACTGGCAGAGGCCACCGTGGAGCCCGGGGTGGCCAGGCCGCGATCTGTGGATCCATGTGAGATGTAGCGGTGGTGACAATACGGGCGATCCGGAGAACATATGCGGTGACCGCAAAAACGCTCCAGTGAACAATCCGCAATGCCCGCCACCCCCAGAAAATGGCGAGCCAAAAGAGGAAGTCAGGATGCAAGCTTACTCGGATCAAAATGATGGAGGTTGGTTCGGTGGCTACAGCCGGATCACCTTTTGCAACAGGTTCTTTAACGACCTTCGGTCCTTGGACGAAGCAACTAAGTACGCAAAACGATCTGATGAACTGAAGGAGAATCTGGAGAATTGGGACAATCGAGCGAGGTGCTTCTTCCACGAGATAACGCATCTTGCATTTTTTGTTAGTAAGTGAGCCTCAGTACGAACCGCGAAAGACAATGCCCTGATATCCCTTTCTTTCTCACAGACTCGGGAGCCTCTGGAAAATCCCCCAATGTCGAAGACCTGCGCATAACCTACGGTACAAAGACCAAGAGACGCACCGATGATACCTATGGGCCTCTTCTCTCAAAAATCTTGCGTAACTTCAGAGCCGATGGCTGGTACCCCGGCCAAAACGCGGACACTTATGCTTGGTCGCCATGGCTATGTGGGCTCAGAAAGAGATTGGCCATTATCCCGAGGACCCAAAGTCGAAGGGGGTTAAGCCTATCGCAGCACCTCGACGAGCCGACGGCACCTCTCTCAATGACCCAGCGGGCGCCGCCGACGCTTCCGACGATGCAGAGGAAACTGAACTGGACTACCAGCCCTCGGAAGGTTTCACAACGCCAAACTGCGGCTCCAGGATGAGCTCAGTGGAGCAACCTCTTCCAGTTCTGAACGTCAGTTGCGTGGATGACGCGAGCGCCGTCCCGGCAGACGTCTTCGGTTCTGCAACGAATCAGGTCTATTCAACGTTCTGTCGCGGTACAGTCAATAATGGCAATCAACTGGAGTGGATGGCTGACATCTTTGGCAATCTCACCGGGCTGTCTCCGAGCCAAAATTCACGAGTCAAAAGATTCGCGCATTTAGCGAGAGCCGATGGGCCGGAGCAGTTTACCAATTGGCAATTTAAGCTCGATTGGGTGCCAGACAAGGATTCGTTCGACGCAGGCCAGTGCTACTTGGACTGCGAGACTGCCTTCCAAGTATTTGCCGCAACGCCGCAATGCTCTCAGAAAGGAGACGAGAAGAACTTGATGTCACTTTCGGGACAAATCGACGTTGGCTGTGGCATGTACGGTTATACTGTCAAAGGCATAGCTATCTCGTAGAGGGTAGGGACATGTGCTGGTCGGAACGAAAGTGTAGCAGGGATAGCCATTTGTCGGCTCTGGAGCGGGGGAGAGGAGGGAAAAGGCAGACATCGTGGAGTTTTTGGAGTTTTTCATGCGCTTTTCACATTTGAAAAGAATTTACGTATCCCATATCAATCAGGGCCTTTAGGGGCCTTTCCATTCGTTGACACAGCTATCAAACATGCGCTCCTGCACACTCATGACTGTTCCAGAGCACTTCAGAGGGCTGCAGAGCAGACGGACCAAACACGCGTCATCTTGTCATAGCGAGCTCTTGTGTTGACGATACTTCTCTTTTCGAGAGGACCTAACTGGATGGGTACATATGGATTTCGGAAGCTGTGAGTCGCTCGTCTGCGTCGCATCACCACAATACTTGTCATAGCGAGAGATGCCACCTTTTTTGAGCGCTGGAAAAGCGATGAAGCAAGCTGTAATGCGGCTCGTAGCGGCAATCGCATCGCAAGATACCGTGTCCGAGGGAGATCCGTAGAAGTATGATGAAAATGAGAAAACCTGATCTAGGTTACTCTGCGTCAAATGAGAGACTTGCGGCTCATATACAATCATTTACAAGGATGACTCTCTGGATGAGAAAACTCATTGACCAGGCAGAGCTTTGCCGCCGAGATTCTGGCTCTCTCCATCGTTTGGCCACGTTTGTTGAAGTTCGCCAACTTCGCCTCGATGGGTTCCCCAGCTGCCAATGAAAGCTTTGCCCTCGTAATCCTCCACTCCCTTCCACATCTTCCCTCCAAGTTTGTCCATCAGCACTGCAGCCTTCTCGTCCATTGTCACACATAGGAACAATCTAGACACATCGTCTGGAGCGACCTCATCCATGCGTCCACCAGGGTACATCATGGTCGGCCACTCAGCTACGACCAGTCCGCCCGAACTAGGCCATGCGACACCAACCCACGCGTTTTCCCTCGCCGTCGGCTCAGGGAGAGCAGCCATCTCGTCCTCATCTTGCAAGTGGTCGGGTTGAGTAAACAGGGAGTGTCTAGCGGGAGAATCCCACCACTTCCCGCCGAGCAATAGTAATCGATGAGCAAAGTCGTCTTCCTCTTGTCGAGTGGCGTGAGGCTTCTTCGGTGGATCGAGACGGTCGAGGCCGAGAAAGTCGAAATCTGCAGGACAGGGCCTCTCGAGTACGATCACACCTCCGCGTGATGGCCAAGCGAATATGGTGATTTCTTCGTAGAAGTCGACACGTTTCCTGAGATCTTTGACGCTGTTGTATACGGTTCGCGGACCGCACAAGTGCGTTGGACGTTGCACCGGACTTACGAAACGTGCGCTATCAGAAGGGGGCTGTGGCGTGGGACGGAATAGACTGAGCAGGCTATCCATGATGAGGCCGAAATGTGTGCCGAGTGCAATGGTGAAGGCGGGGAACAGAAGATCAGGATACAATGACTGCGCCTCATGCACGGTCACGTGTGTAAGCAATCGCCTGCGCAACTGCGATGGGACCAGAAGGGCTAAATGGTCGCAAAGACATACTCAAGGTATCATCAACCACATTTCCACTTCTTGAAAAAAGGATAGCCTGCATACTCAAATATTGAGGTTGGTAGCATAAGCAATTTTTGATAATGGATGTACAAGTAGCGCGCACTTGATGAACTGTATTCTTTGATGTTGTCAGAATTACAACTTCTGTAAAGGAAGGTTCATTGCTCAAGCATGGCCCCTGGAGATGCTCAGTCATGCGATACTGCACGGCGCAGAGCAGAATGCATACTGTTGTCTCTGACGTGTCGAGTATGCCGTGGCCTTTGGCTTTCGAACCGGACGTCAGGCCGCAAGGCGTGAAGAGTTCACACCCTGCCACGCTGATCGCGGACCCGCCTGAGTCGCATTGAACCATGGTCATTGCAGGCGGAACGTTGGGTAGGCGTGGAGTGAGGATCTGATGTGGCACCAGTTGGGCCGACGCGACTGATCTAGTCCATATCGGGTATAGTGCAACAAGAGTGACGTAGCTGCGATTGGCGGGGAGCTCTTTGCCTGACCGGAAACCTGTACGAGGATCCAGAAGCTTCTACCGACAGGGCAGAACCCACGCCTAGCTTCGAGACATGACGAGAAACCACACGATGTCACTGACGGCTTCCTGACGCTTCACGAAGTGTTGAGTAAAGCTGCCTTTACCCTATAAATATTTCTCGAGTCCTTTGTGCAACACTTCCTTTCTTCTTCAGAGATACCCAACAACAACACAACGCATACACGATTCCTGAGTACGAGCTCACGACCCACGATTATTACCTTTGGCTTCGGGCCATATACATCAGGCTATAGTCACGAATCACCATGACTTCATTCGACGCCTACACTGACCGCGCCGCGAAGGCTCTAGCAGACAGCTTCGATCTAGCTAAGGGCTATGCGCACTCACAACTCACACCCCTCCACCTCGCCGTCTCGCTCATAGATCCGCCCAAGGATCTAGCCAACCAAGTCGACGTACCACCGCCGCCGCTATTCAAGCAAGTCCTCGAACGCGCGAATGGCGACCCACAACTCTTCGAGCGCAACCTCAAGAAGGCTATGGTACGGTTACCAAGCCAAGACCCTCCGCCAGAGCGGACTTCACCTTCACCTGCTATGGCCAAGGTGCTCCGCTCCGCCGAAGACTTGAGCAAGACACAAAAAGACAGCTTCATCGCCGTCGACCACCTCATCCAGTCCCTCTGCCAAGATGCGCAGATGCAACGGATCCTCGCTGAGTCCAACGTACCGAACGTCAAGCAAATCGACAACGCGATCTTGGCACTCCGAGGTACAAAGCGGGTGGACTCCAAGTCGGCAGACGCGGAGCAGGAGAACGAGAACTTGAAGAAGTTCACCATCGACATGACGGCAATGGCACGAGAGGGCAAGATCGACCCAGTCATTGGTCGAGAAGACGAGACGCGCAGAGTTATCCGCATCCTGACTCGGCGAACCAAGAACAACCCAGTTCTCATTGGAGAACCTGGTGTTGGTAAGACTACAGTCGTCGAGGGTCTTGCCCGCCGCATTGTCGACGCGGATGTACCGGCCAACCTCGCAGCCTGCAAGCTGCTCTCTCTCGATGTCGGTGCTTTGGTTGCTGGCAGCAAGTACCGCGGAGAGTTTGAAGACCGCATGAAGGGCGTCCTGAAGGAGATCGAAGAGTCGAAGGAGATGATAGTATTGTTCGTCGACGAAATCCATCTTCTCATGGGCGCTGGTTCATCCGGAGAGGGCGGTATGGACGCTGCCAACTTGCTGAAGCCCATGCTGGCCCGTGGACAGCTTCACTGCATTGGTGCGACAACCCTGGGCGAGTACCGCAAGTACATCGAGAAGGACGCTGCCTTCGAGCGTCGTTTCCAACAGGTCCTCGTCAAGGAACCGTCCATTCCCGAGACCATCTCCATTCTTCGTGGTCTCAAGGAGCGCTACGAAACCCATCACGGAGTCACCATCATGGACGGTGCTATTGTCGCATCAGCCACCCTTGCTGCCCGCTACCTCACTCAGCGCCGACTACCCGATTCCGCTGTCGACCTAATCGATGAGGCTGCGGCAGCCGTCCGTGTCACCCGAGAGTCACAACCCGAAGCGCTTGATAACCTCGAGCGACGCCACCGTCAACTACAGATCGAGATTCACGCGCTCTCCCGAGAGAAGGACGAAGCCTCACAAGTCCGTCTGAAGGAGGCGCGTGCAGAGGCCGCCAACATCGAAGAAGAGCTGAAGCCGCTTCGTGAGATGTACGAGCGCGAAAAGGGTCGCAGCAAGGACATCCAGGAGCAGAAGCTCAAGCTCGAAGGCCTCAAGACGAAGCTTGCTGAGGCCGAGCGTATGCGCGACATCCAGACTGCTTCCGATCTCAAGTACTACGCCATTCCCGATGTCGAGCAGCGCATCAGCGAGCTGGAGCGAGACAAGGCCCGCGCGGATGCAGAGATGTGGTCTCACCAGGCTAGTGGTGGTGGTGAGGCTCTCATGAGCGACTCTGTTGGTCCTGACCAAATCAACGAGATTGTCGCTCGCTGGACCGGTATCCCAGTTACTCGACTCAAGACTACAGAGAAGGACAAGCTGCTCAACATGGAACGTCACCTCCAAGAAGTCGTCGTTGGTCAGAGGGAGGCTGTCGTCTCCGTCTCCAACGCCATTCGACTTCAGCGCTCTGGTCTTGCCAACCCCAACCAACCGCCCAGCTTCTTATTCTGTGGTCCTTCCGGTACTGGTAAGACACTTCTCACAAAGGCCCTCGCGGAGTTCCTGTTCGACGACGCAAAGGCCATGATCCGCTTCGACATGTCGGAGTACCAAGAACGTCACTCCCTCAGCCGAATGATCGGAGCACCACCCGGCTACGTCGGTCACGACGCTGGAGGCCAACTCACCGAAGCCCTGCGCCGCAAACCCTTCTCGATCCTTCTCTTCGACGAAGTCGAAAAGGCCGCCAAGGAAGTCCTTACCGTACTCCTCCAACTCATGGACGACGGCCGCATCACCGACGGCCAAGGCCGCGTCGTCGACGCAAAGAACTGCATCGTCGTCATGACCTCCAACCTGGGAGCCGAGCACCTGTCCCGCCCCAACGCACCCGACGGCAAGATCGACCCCACCACTAAAGAAATGGTCATGGGCGCCCTCCGCAACTGGTTCCTCCCCGAGTTCCTCAACCGCATCTCCTCCATCGTCATCTTCAACCGCCTCACCAAGCGCGAGATCCGCAAGATCGTCGACGTGCGCCTCGGCGAGATCCAGAAACGCCTCAACCAGAACGGACGTAATGTGCGCATCGAGATGACGCCTGAGGTACGGGATTACCTTGGTTCGGCGGGCTACTCGCCGGCATACGGTGCTAGGCCGCTTGCTCGCCTCATCGAGAAGGAGGTGCTCAACCGGCTTGCGGTGCTTATCCTCCGTGGTTCTATCAAGGAGGGTGAGACTGCGAGGGTTGTGCTGGACGATGGACATATCATGGTGTTGCCTAACCACACGGACAGTGAGGATGATTCGGAGATGTACGATGAGTCTGATGCTGTTGCTGAGTTGGATGCGGAGGAGGATATGGATCTTTACGACTAGATGAGTATAGTAGCTGGAGGTTCAGTTAGAGGCATTTCAGCATTAGGCGTTTAGGGATTGAATGGTTTGGGAAGAGTGCCTTGGTAGAGGCATCATGATGGGATTATGATTCATGGTTTGATGATTGTTGACGAAAAGTAAAGGCGCGGGTTGGCGTTTTACTGGGTAGCATGCTTGATGACCGTGTCTTGTACATAGTTAATGAGATCCAAATTTTAAATACCTTCTTCACCTTCATCATGCATTTGTGGTCCTTCATTGGATTGTGGTGGCAACATCTCGATGTTTTGAGAGATGACCATCGCGCTGTACAAGCTGTCTTTGTGTTTGGCAAGATACCCTAATCATGGCTTCGTCATGTTCAGGTGTTAATCGACATTCACCATTATCATATCTCACGTTCACGAGCATCACAACGGGCATGCAAATTTCCCAGTCATGAACTTTTGTCATTTCTTCGTCTAACGTTCCCATGATGGGCTTACTTGGCCAAACATAAGCTTGCCCAAGCCAGGGTATATTGAATCCCACACCACCACATATCGAGACAGCCTCTAGTAGAAGAAACCAAGAATCTTGCCAGCAACGTGCTTCCTGCGGGCCTCCTCGTGGTCCATGATACCAGCGGAGGTGGTCAGGACGATGTAACCGAATTGACGCGAGGGAAGTAGCTTGACGACCCACTTCTCCATGTCGCGGAGCTGGACGTTGTAGCGGGGGGAGATGACACCGGTCTTGTTGATGCGGCCGTTGAGCTGGATGACGATCTTGCCGTTGCGGTGGTCGTCGACCTCCTCGAACTCGCCAATGTAACCTGAAGAGAATTAGTGTTTGTTGCGGCGAAATAAACATCAGACGTCATGAAAGGAATCCGAAGACGTGTAAGTCCTCCGCAGTTAATTTATCGGACACTTAAAGCTCATTGATCGTGGGGAGTCGAGATCAGTGAGTAGTTATCAGCCCGAAGAGGTGATGGGGTTGCTAGCGGAGGAATACACTTCTTTGGAGACATGACGCGTGATGTGATAGATGAACGAGTCGACGTACCGTGACGCTGCATGACAGTGAGGAACTTGACGATGACCTTGGAGGAAGGACGGATCAGGACCTGGCGCTTGCCAGCCTTCTCAGCCTGTTCGGTTGTTAGCGCATGTTCGTGTCAATCACCAGCGCTGTAGCTTACGTTGTTGATGGCGTTGAGCGCATCGTTGAGGACGGAAGTCTTGACCATGTTGACGGTTTAACGGGAGATTCTCTGTGGCGGAGGCGACTGAGGTATCTGCGCGTGCGTGGTTAGCCTCCAGATGCCAGAGCATGGAGAGTGCCCTTGCAGAAGGGTTCTTCAGCTCGTGTCGAAGAGGAGAAGCAGTGTCGCTCTCATCCTTGCGGACGGCGGCGATTGCATCCCCGGGCTCTGAAGGGCACTCGGGTCCAAGACATACCTCGTGAGGGTGCGGTGGGCGGTAGGGAAGGTCGATGTTGCGAGAAAAGTTCGAGTTTGGAAGGCGCAAATTGGTGTGGTGGACCGTGTCCTCGCTAACGGAGCTGGGCTTGGCAGCAACGACGGGACCCTTGCAGGCTCAGTGCACCCAGCACCAAACTCCAACACCTGGCTGTCCTGCCACACGTCGCAATCACGATACAGAGAGGGGATATGTCTGCCGAGCACGGGACAACATATTGCAGGGCTTATGGTTTGGACTTCACATATATGCGATACTATCGCGCCTTCACGTGCCCTCGCGATCGTCAACTGTCTTAGTCATGACGTAGCGGCAGTCACTTTGCCTCCCATTATCCCTTACGAACCTCACGTGTAGACATCCGGAAGTTCCCTCATACACTCTAGTCCACCCTTCTGTTTCATCATGTCTGAAGCATGCTGTACCTGCGCTGCACTCCTATCCTCTATTCCCCCAACATACGATGAGAAGACCGAGAAGCCGTCGCAGTTCGAGCGCAGACTCGACTGCTGCGGGCGTGCCATATGCGCCAGATGCTTGACGGATAACCCTAGATTTCAAAACTACTGCCCATATTGCCAGATAGCGACAGGGCCATCAGCACTACCACCACAAGGTCTCCGCGACCCTCCTACGTATTCGCCACCGGGCGAGCAAGTCGACGACGAACTACCACCATACTCAGCAGGCAACGCGCTGCAACCACCATCTGAGAAGTCGAGGACAGACGCCCAGGACGCGCCTGATGTTCTACACTTTGTCGACCCAAACAACGACTCGATCTTATCGCTATCGCTCCGATATGGTGTACCCGCCGACGCCTTGCGCCGAACGAACAACTTGTATGCGGATCATCTACTAGCGGCGCGTAGGACGGTACTCATACCGGGAGAGTTCTACAAAGGTGGGGTTAGTCTAAGCCCGAGGCCACTAGAGGGCGAGGAGGAAGAGATCAAAAAGACAAAGCTACGGAAGTTTATGGTCAAATGCAAGGTCGCAGAGTAAGGGCATCACCTTCCACCATATAGTGGACAGAACTAATATCCTCACTAGATACGACGTTGCAGTCCTTTACCTCGAACAAGCCAGCTACAACCTCGAGCAGGCGATCACTGCGTACAAGGCCGATGAAGACTGGGAGAAGACACATTCTCTAGAGGCTGCGAAGAAGGGCAAGGCGAAAGAGTCGCAAGGCTCAGGGCGGCGGAAGTGGGGCTTTGGAGGCCTCACAGGTCAACTTTGATAGCGCTTCCGAGCCGATTCTCCGCTCATGGCGTTTCGCGGCGCTCCGACAATTTGGTAGAATGGGTATTACCATCTAGTTAGCGAGCGTGTGTAGATGTTTCGAATGGCCATTTGATATACTATGCCATATATTGGAAGAACTCTTGTGCTAAGGATGGCAGAATGCACAATACAACATCCACCTTTCCAACGTAATCCCATGTGCAGAGCAGTTTGGACGATTCATGAACTTCCCTCAGCCTCTCTAAGAAAATCGACTGAGCTTACTATCAGGAGGATCTGCTATTTTCGTTGGTCGTTGCTTCCAAAGTCTCACTCCTCGCGTCAGGCGCTCACAGCCAATCATCGCGCAGAAGCACACCAGGCTGTAAGCGCCCATACATCTCACGAATTAGCATCTGCACCTTAACTCTGGAAGCGCCCACGCTCCATTCGCGTTTCACACTCTGGTGACCCTGCATTCGCATCCTTCTGTATCCTCATTCGACAGCTGACAGCGCACTACAACCGCTCATGCCCTGACTCTGCCCTACCTCGCTACCAGCGGAACCACAGACAAGCCACAGTCTTTGACGCACGGTACGATCGGCACCCTGATTGAACCACAGGGAACGGCATGTGCTGCTAAATGCACACATGCGGTAATGCGGCAAGACCCCATGCAGGTTAATATCGCTATTCTAGGCCTGGTGTGCAGCTTACGCGCTGCGAACAACAATACTCCCACCACCAGCCCAGCACACTGGCGCTGCTAGTCCAGGTCCGACTGATGGTCGCAGCGGCAAGACAGATTGCCGTTCTTTCTTTGCTCTTGTTCGTCTATTCCTGTACGCGAACGCCAGATGGGCTGCAGGGGGTTGCACGATGTGTTCTGTAGGCGTGAAACCCCCATTGCGACCGAGATCGTTTTAAAGGCATGTGCCACCCCCAGAGTTGTTTTCTATCCCCATCCCAGGCAAAGAAGATCGACTCGGAGCCTTAGCTTATATCAGGCCGCTTTCTCTTGCTTGCTTGTTATTTCGTTCTCTCGTTCATTCGTCCTTCATTCTGAGAAAGAAAGGTGTGCACTGGTTGACGCCTAGTAATCGATCCGATCTTTATACCATACCTTCGCTCCACGTTTTTGGAATATAAAAAGCAACTTCGAGACCAACGACTACCATCACGATGAAGATCAACCCCGCTCCTTTCCACTTGGCTCAGGCCATCATCACCGGCCTTGTTGTCGTCTTCAGCATATGTATTCTTGGCACTTCGGCACACACCCTCGATGTCTTCAACAGGCAACATCTCACAAACCCTTGGTGGGCACCGATGTGGCCTCAGCACTTCGACGTACAGGGAACCAAGGCGCTCATTGCGTCGTCTGTCGTGACTTTGGTTCTCTGTGGCGCGTTCTTGATCGCATCGTTTCTGCCTCAGGTGAGCATCTGTCCAGATATTCTCATGCAAAAGAACAGCCTCCTAACAAACATCAGCTTGCACTTCGTCAGAAATACACCCTGCGTGCTCTTCTCTCCCTCGCTACCCTCCTTCCTACTCTTCTCCTTACCCTGATCACCACTATCTGGGCCCACATGCTCAACAACAACGCGCCGGAAGTCGATACCATCCAGACCTGGACCTGCAAGATGCAGAGCTCTCAACCGCTTGATCAGGATCTGCCTGCTGACATTGCCATGCCGGCCGGCATGGGCAACAGCGACTTCAAGACCCTGTGTGGAGCAAGCAAGTTTGCGCTATACGGAACCCTCATCGTGTTCCTACTTGTGGGCGCAAGCATGGCTGTCACAATGATTACCTGGATGGCAGACAAGTGGGCAGCGAGGCAGCAGAGGAAGGAAGTTGAGATGGGCAACATTCCCGTGAACAACTAGGCACATCCCAAGGGCGATGTTAATTCGAGAAGAGATGATAACGAGACACGCACGCGCTTGGAGGCGCGTATTATGTCGAGAGATTTGATGCATTTGGGTTATGGACCTCTGTCAGCAAGCGTGTCCAAAGGGGGAAGGCGTACCGGTGTATTGGCGTCATAGGTCGTTGGTTTGTGACTTTGAACAAGGGTCTTCCTTTCAATGTACTATTAGGCAAATGAAGGCCTCTTTTGCGTTCAATCGCATCTTCTTCACTACGCTTGAGATTGGAATGAGGCATTGTGCAGCGATATTGCGGGGGACTGGGCCCAGATCAGATCGACAAGTCCAATGGACGATCACCCTGGAGTTGAGCACAGGATGCGTAAGCGTGCGTGAGCGGGAACAGGCAATCATGCTGAACCGCTGCATGGCGCTTTTGTGTTTCTGGGTGAAAAGCGTGCGTTTGCTGGACATGGATCGTCTGGAAAGTTGGACGGGCCAGCAAGCAGCCTCGGAGGAGTTGTCGCGCAGAGCAACGGCACGGCAGCGCGCGCGACAAGCAATTGTCTTTGTACCAGCCAGACATTGTTCATGAGACATTGCACGTAGCGGTTTCAGGGCAGCGTTGAGACGACCTCGCATCTCCGACAATTGACAGGTTAGATAGGGAGCGGAACGCAGTGGGGAAGGCGTGAATAAGCCGGTCAACGATCATCGTTTGGTTCGCGGTTCCAGTTCGGCCGTCCAGTCGCGTCACGACCGCTGATCAGCGCGCGACTCCTCATTGCATCAACTGCCGTCATCCGGCCAGGCCCTCGAGCGAACTCTGGTTGTCGCATTTGCTTCTTTCTCTCCCTCTTGCACTCCGACCGGAGCGTGACTCGGAAAGCGAAATCTACCCGCCGTTCCTCGTTAAGCAGCTAAATTGATCACCCGTCCTGTCATCCCGGAACCCTGTCCATCTTCAGCCCCCAAGGGCTCGAGCGTGCATCGAAGCGGCATCAGAAAGATCCCCTCTCCACCTCAGCGACACCGCATAATCCTGCCTGACCGCGCCTTCCGACCGCTCCTTCCCCCTTCACACACACATCCACATAATTGCACTCCGCTATGCAAGCTCGCCATACGCCGACCGACGAACACCGCAGCAAGAGAAAGTTCCAACCCAGCATCACAAGCTATTTCGAGGTGCGGGACGATTTCGAGGATACCGACGATCTGCGGGGCCTAGATCCGATTACCCGACCGCGACACCAAAACACGAGGCAACACCAGCACCAGCACAGAGAGAAACTCGCTCCTGACGTCCCCGGCCAAGTGCAAGCAGACCTCCTCAGCGTCGGCATGAGAGTGCGAAAGAGCGTGCCGGAAGGCTACAAGATCCACAAGACATCCGGCCTCCCATCCATCCAAACCACCATGTCGCGGCCCACCCTAGCCGTCAAACCACCCCGAGAGCCTGTATCAGAAGAAGTCCTGCACCAGCGCGAACTCCTGCCTTTCTGCGGCCTGAACAAAATCGGCGGCTTCGCAGAACAACCAACAACCAACCCACATCTCTACGCCGCGAACGGCACGCCACCACCTCCAAACTACTTCCCCCTCCCCGCCGAGACCTTCACTCAGCCCTTCTCCTCCAAAGCCTCCACAGATAGCGGATACTC